TGTGTCGTTTCTGTCACCTAACTGGGCCCTGACTGATACAATGCCCACACGCATGCCATCACACACATCCCCGCGAACGTCGGAGGGGCCCTCCTCCAGCAGCTCCTTGCTCCCTCCTCAGTCGGACTCCCCCAACAAATCCTCTGCGCCTCTGGGTCACCTCCTCCTCTTCAGTACCCCCCGTATCAGCCAAGTTTAGTCGGGAAAACAGAAACCACTCTCAGCGTTCAAGCAGGAACGGATTTACTGCAGGGACTTTGGTGCTGAAGTCTTGGCTTCATCTGTTCCTGTCACTGTGACCAGATGAATTTGCCTCTCTGAAACTCACTTCCCACTCCTCTAAAGATAAAGGTAATAACAGTACTTAACTCATATTTACATCGTTTTTAATTTGTATACGGTCGCTCTGAAAAATTACATAAAATAATTCACGAAAAACTCCTGGTGCCCGATACACAGTTAGTGCCCAATAAATGTAACCTATTATTACTGTTACTGTAATACTGTTACTCTAAACACTCCTGCACATCTGAGCTAAAGTGTCCCAAAACCACAGCAGTCTATAGCTGAGGCCGCAGGACGGGAAGAGGACGCTTCAGCAGTAAGACGTTCATCCCTGACGAAAGACTCCCCTAGACTGGCGGGGGCATTGGGGTGGGGAGATGATGCGTAGGTTGGATATGACCCAGTGGCTCCAAGATGCCTGCCTGTCCTCATTTAGAACAAGTTACATATCTTAAACTTCCTTCATAATGACAAAGCTCTCTCTTCCTGATACCTTTTTAAAACTTTAATTGAGAATGTAATATATGCACATCGTTTTGTTTTTTTTTAAGTCAGAGCGCAAAATGCTGCTTAGTGAAGACTGGCCCCCTCCCACCCCATGTATCTTTGAATAATATATCTTGGAGAGCATTTCATATTTGCACTGATGCATCTACCATTTTTGGCTTTTTCCCCCCTTTTTAATCTTATTCTCTTTAAAATCTGCATAATATTCTTGATATGAATAGAGCACTAATTACTTAACCAGATCCTTTCTGGCAGAAATTTCATGTTTCCGTCTTTTGCTATTATAAACAGTGTTCTCATAAACATCTATCTACATACTACCTTCTTTCGTTTTTTGAGGTAGAAAATCCTCTCACCTCTTAGAGTTGGAGCCCCTAAGCCCAACTTCACAGTCTAGTATAAAACACTGCGGAAGGGGTGGAAAACCAGCATTCCAGCCCTGGTTCCACTGCTAATGTCCTTTGCACTCAGACACCACTTCATCTGTGTGACTCAGGTCCCTTGCTTGTCAGGAAGCAATAATTGTACCTGCTTTCATTTGCTTCACAAGGGCATTCTGAGAATCGAATGAGATCATGTACATGAAAGCTTATGAGTGCTGTACTAATACACAAGTCTCTCCTCTGGTTATTTGCCAAAACTACTATTGACGTGTTGGTCTGTGAATGTGCCCACGATCTTCAATATGGCGCCTGCTGCACCCAATGCCCCTTCTAAGAGAAACTTACCCCCCACACACACAGAGCCCGCTGCTGTGCACTGCACAGTGTCCCTGCCTTCCCCATCCTTCCACATCTACCCCTCCGTCTAAGCCAAGGGGGGCACCTTCCCTATCTATAGGCTGCCCAGTGGCTAGAATGAAACGTTCTGCCCAAAGAGAGACAAACGAGGCCATTCTAATTCTTGCCCTTGGGAAAGTCTGCTAGGAAGCCATGAGTGACTAAGATAGGACAAACACAGCACAGAAGGCAGTCGAGGCCATGAGGGCTGCCAGAAGCTGATGTTACAAGTAAGCTGAAGTGGGAA